CTCTGGTGACCCTTGAGCTGCCTTCCCTCCAAGCTTAGAGGGAGAGAGTCCGATAAGTCCATGCGCGGGCCCTTTCAGGAGCTGCCTGGGGCTCCAGCTGCTTCAGCTTCCCTGAGCCTCAGTTCCCGCTGGTTTTTCCAGCCAGAAGTTATGGGGACTTCTCTTCCTGGCACTGGAACCCTGAGCGGGGCACCTAGTATGGGACGGGGACCCTTCAATCCTCAGGAAGGACCTTCCCAGCTGAAGTAGCCTCCTTATTTTTATCTGCCACACATGGGTGTGGGACCAGCCTGTCTCGCCGACGGCCCTCACGCCTCCGCCCCTCCTACCAGTCTTGATGCAGCTGCTTTAATTCCGTAGTTGTAGGACTTCCATTCAGCTTGCTTTCAGGCGGTTTTGAATGATGGTTGTTCTGCAGTTTAGTTGTAACTTTGATGTAGTTGTGGGAGGACGTGATACTGCGTTTACCTATGCCGCCATCTTGACCGGAAGTTTGGACATCCCGTTTTGTTTCTGAGAAACACTTTTAGTTTTTCCTTACTGAGTAATGATGTTGGCTGTGGATTTGTCATATGTGGCCTTTATTATATTGTGGTATGTTTACTCTATTCCTACTTTGCTGAGAATTTTTATTATAAATGGGTGCTAGATTTTGGCAAATGCTCTTTCTGCATCTATTGATATGATCATGTGATTTTTTTATCCATTTTGTTTATGTGATGTACCACATTAATTGATTTGCAGACATTGTATCAATCTTGCATCACAGGAATAAATCCTACTTGATCATAGTGTATGATCTTTTTAATGTATTGCTGGATTAATTTACTAATATTTTGTTGAGGATTTTTGCGTCTATGTTCATCAGAGATATCGGCATATAATTTTCTTTCTGGGTAGTGTCTTAATCTGGTTTTGGAATTAGGATAATGCTGGCTTTGTACATTGAAGTTGGGGGGGGGGGTCTTTCCTCCTCTTGAATTTTCAGGAATAGTTTGAATAGGACAGATGTTAGTTCTTCTTTGAATGTTTGGTAAAAATTACCTGTGAAGCCATCCAGTCCAGGACTTTTTTTTGCTGAGAGTTATTTTTTATTACTGCTTCAATTTCATCCATTTTAATTGTTCTGTTCAGATTGTCTATTTCTTCTTGATTCAGTTTTGGAAGATTGCATAATATCTAGGAATTCATCCATTCCTTCCAGATTGTCCAATTTGTTGGCATATACCTGTTTATAATATTTATTATAACCCTTTGTATATCTGTAGTGTCAGTTGTTACTTCTCCTCTTTCATTTCTGAGTTTATTTGGGTTCTCTTCTTTCTTGGTTAATGGTTTGTCAACCTTGTTTATCTTTTCAAAGAACCAGCTCTTGGTTTCATTAATCGTTTGTATTATTTGTAGTCTCTATTTCCTTTATTTTGGCTCTAATCTTTATTCTTTCTTCCCTTCTACTCATTTTGTGCTTTGTTATTCTTTTTGTAGTTCTTTTAGGAGTAAGGTTATATTGTTTGAGATTTTTCTTGCTTCTTGGGGTCAGTCTGTATTGCTATGAATTTTCCTCTTAGGACTGCTTTCACTGTGTCCCACAGATTTTGGGTTGGTGTGTGTTCATTTTCACTTGTCTCAAAGTAGCTCTTGATTTCTTCCTTGATGTCATTGTTAACTCATTTATTATTTAGTAACATGCTATTTAGCTCCCATATGTTTGTGTGCTCTCCAGTTTTTTAAAAGATTATAATTGATATCTAGTTTCATACCATCGTGGTCAGAAAAATGTTTGATATGACTTCAATCTTCTTAAATTTACCAAGACTTGTTTTGTGTCCTAACACATGGTCTATCTTAGAAAATCTTCCATGTGCACTTAAAAAGAATGTATAGTCTGTTGCTTTGGTGTGAAATGTTCTGCAATTAGAGTTGGGCAAAAGGAGTTTTACAGTTGTGAGTACATGGAACAGAGTTTATTCTTTTTTTTTGTTTGTTAATCCTGACCTGAGGATGTTTTTCCATTGATTTTTATTTTTTATTGATTTTTTCAGAGAGAGACAGGAAGGGAGGGAGAGATAGAAACATCAATGTGAGAGAGAGACATCGATCAGCTGCCTTCTGCACACTCCCTACTGAGGATCAAGCCAGCAACCTGGGCATGTGCACTGACCAGGAATTGAACCGGGACCTTTCAGTCCACTGAGCCACACCGACCAGGCCTGTTGATTTTTAGTTAGAGTGGAAGGGAGGGAGGGAGGAGTGAGAAACATCAATGTGAGAGAAAGACATCAATTGGTTGTTTCCCGCACAACCTGACCAGGGCCAGGGATCAAACCTGCAACCCAGGTATGTGCCCTTGACCAGGAATCAGACCCACAACCCTTCAGTCTGTGAACTGATGCTTTAACTGCTGAACCATTCCGACCAGGGCCAGAGTTTATTCTTGTATTATTTTCAATATAAACAACTGTACACCTACTTTTGCCCCACCCTGTATCAATTAAATCCATCTGGTCTAGTGTGTAGTTTAAGGCTGCTATTTCCTTATTGATTTTTTTACTGGGAAACCAATTTATGTATGTATGTATGCATGTATGCATTATGTATGTATGTATGTATGTATGTATTTAAATCCTCACCTGAGGACATTTTCCCATTTATCTTCAGATAGAGAGGGAGGGAGGGAGAGAGAATCGATGTGAGAGAGACTCATCAACTGGTTGTCTCCTGCATAACCCCAACCAGGGCCAGGGACCAAACCACAACTGAGGTACATGCCCTTGACTGGAATCAAACCCACAAGTCTTTGGTCCATGGGCCAATGCTCTAACCACTGAGCCAACCGGTCAGGGCTGGAAGATCAATTTATTAATGTCATTGGGGTGTTAAAATCTGCTACATGACTGTATTAAGTCCATTAAAATTAACTTTATATATTTAGGTGCTCCTTTTTGGGGGCACATAAATGTTTACAAGTGTTAAATCCTCTTGTTGGCTTGATCCCTGTATCAATATGTAATTTTTTTGTTTCTTATTATAGCCTTTGTTTTAAAGTCTATTTTGTCTGATATAAGTATTGCTACCCCAGCTTTTTTTCATTTCTATTTGCATGAAATATCTTTTTTTATCCCTTTACTTTCAGTTTGTGTCTTTCATTCTGAGATGGGTCTTTTGTAGACAGCATATACATAGGTATTGTTTTCTTATTCATTCAGCTACCTTATATTTTTTTCATTGGAGCAATTAAGCCATTTACTTTTAAGGTGATTATTCACAGATACATATTTCTTGCCATTTTATTCTTTATAAGTGTGTTTCTCTCTCTTTTTTCTTTCTTCTTCTTAAAGATCTTTTGACATTTCTTATAATACTAGTTTGGTGGTAATGAACTCCTTTCACTTTTTCTTGTCTGGGAAGCTAGTTCACCTTCAATTTTAAATGATAGCCTTGCTAAGTAGAATAGTCTTGGTTGTAAGCCTTTGTTTACATCACTTTGAATATATCATGTCAATTTCTACAGGCCTGAAATGTTTCTGTTGAGAAATCAGGTGATACTCTTATGGGAGCTCCCTTGTAGGTAATTAACTATCTTTTTCTTGCTGCTTTTAAGATTCTCTCTTTGTCTTTAACCTTTGGCATTTTATTTATGATGTGTCTTGATGTGTGCCTCTGGGTTCATCTTGTTTGGGACTCTCTGTGCTTCCTGGACATGTGTATCTTTTTCCTTTACCAGATTAGGGAAATTTTCAGCCATTATTTCTTCACATAGACTCTGATTCCTTGCTTTCTCTCTTCTCCTTCTGGGACCCCTATGATGCATGTTATCATGCTTCATGTTGTCCCAGAGATCCCTTAAACTATCTTCATTTCTTAAAATTCTTTTTTCTTTTTTCTGCTCTGATAGGGTGTTTTCTGCTACCTTATCCATTCTTCTTTAAATGTTTGGTAGAATTCATTACTGAAGCCATCCTTGGCTTTTCTTTGTGGAAAGTTTTCAAATTACTAATGTAATCTATTTATTATAGGTCTATTCAGATTTTCTATTTATTTTTAGTCAGCCATACGTTTTAATAATGGGTATAACTATATCCCTATGAAATACAGGTTTCATACAGTTGTTTCTTATAAAACCAATTGGGGTAGGCTAAAAATGTGAATTAAGTGTCCACTCACTCCCTTCACACTCTTTGCTGTACATCACAATGAGGATACAGAAAACACAGTGACAAAACAAACACCCTCAGTTTGGCATTTAAAAGTCATTCCTGATTTGGGCTCTGATTATTGCTCCAGCTGCCTATCTCTTCATGGTGCACTCCAACTATATCAAGTTCCTCCCAATGCCTTGCTGTCTTACTGTGCATCTTGCTGTAATAGTATCATGCTTGCTTGCAACAGTCCTCCTTTCTTGTCTCTTGCAGCCCACAACTCTCCCCACCCCTGCCTGGGGATGGCTCTCCTGTTTGTTTGTTTTTTAATCCTCACTCAAGGGTATTTTTACATTTATCTTCAGAGTGGGAGAGAGAGAGAGAGAGAGAGAGAGAGAGAGAGAGAGAGAGAGACATCGACGTGAGAGAGACACATCAACTGGTTGCCACCCGCATGACCCCAATTGGGGCCAGGGACGAACCACAACCGAGATACATGCCCTTGGCTGGAATCAAACCCAGGACTCTTTGGTCCACAGGCTGATGCTCTAACTGCTGAGCCAAAACGGCCAGGGCTCTCCTGGTTCTTTAAGATTTATTTCAGGCTAAGGCATCACTTCCTTCAGGAAGGTTCTTGGCATTCCAGGCTGGGTTAGAGCTTCCTGTGGGTTCACCTGGAACCCCTGTGCTCCATTCTGTTACAGCATTTATCAGGGTATACAGTCATTGTCTATTTTTATGTCTTTCCTCTCACCCAAGTCTTGGTTCTTGTCCTTAACAGGGCCCAACATGGGGACCCACACAGAGTTGATGACAAGAAGTGTTAATGGAATGAATAAATGTGTTTTCTCCTGGGCACAGGTGAGTGGGATGTCTTACTCCGCCCTCCAGAAGGATGATTCAGAGGTAGAGAAAGACCAAATACTACTACCACCATCCCCAGAATCCAGAGAGGCAAAGAAGACTCGGAGGAAGCTTCCATCTGCCTCACTCTCCAGCAAGTACCATGGCTACCAGGAGCTGCTGACAGCCAAGCCTGATCCGACCTTCATTGAGCCGAAGGGTATGTGAGGAGAATGCCTCTAAGGCAGGGGCCTCTCCACAGTCCAGGTCAAGTCAGGGTAAAGCCAAGCTGGTGCCAGAACTCTTTTCCAGACAGGTACTATCTTCTACCTGAATGTCTGTCAAAGGGCCCCTGCATGTCAGGACTCCTGGCCTGGGCCTTGTCTTTGGGGAGCCACAACTGTTCAGAGATTCCAGCCAGTCTGGGTCCAGCTCTGGTTGGAAAAGTTTCTCGAGGAAGGGTTTGATGAACAAACACCCAGAATGGCCAGATTCCCAGTTAATCCCCAAATTGAACATCCAAAATCCTACTTGATTTGAGGCAAGGGAGGCAGTACCCTCTCTGAACCCCTTATTTCAGACTGATGTGAACAGTATTGGTACTTTCAAAGGAAGTGGTGCTCAGCTGTGCGCTCTTGGGTGTCAGTCCCTGCAGTGTAACCTCCCTGAGGTTAATGGGGTTACACTGGGGTCAGCCCCTTTCCCCACTCCAATGTTATTTTCCAGTCGTGATCTTTGCTCTAGGGGACTGTCGTTCACTCAATGAATGATGGAACTTCTGACACTGAAACAGACCAGGGAGAGATGTGGGGCTTCTCATCCTTTTACTCAGGGCCACTATTCTATGGGGATGAAGAAATTGGCGGGGGAAGCGGGGGGCATCTAGGAGAAGTACCCGGACTCTACCTTGCTTCCCGTCCTAGGAATCCAGAAGAACGCACAGGCCCTGCAGCACCTGCTGAAGCACCCGCTCCTGCACTGCTCCTCCAGGCCCAAGCAGGACACTCTTCAGAAATACTGTGTTCCCAAGGAGAAACGGGTACACCTGCACCTCACTGAGTATACAGATACCCCCTCGGGGACAGGGATGGCTGTCACCTCCAAGGCTTCTAAGGGCCATGCTTTCCCAGAGTCCCCAATTGATTCCCCGCCTGTGGCTGTGACTGTGTGAGAGGCGAGGCCAGGAAAGTCTGAGCGTAAGTCTGGGATAACTCTCCTCTCTTACCTTCTGCCAGGCCCAGAGGATCCCTGTTCCACCCCCACGGAAGACTCGAGCCCAGCTGCTGGATGACATTCTCATTCGCATGCGGGACTCCCAGAACATTACAGAAGCTCCACTAGGTATGGCTCTGACCCCCCCGTCCTCAGCTGCCAGAACCCGAGGTCTGCTGGTGTAAGGCACAGGACTTGTGTCAGAGCAAACAGGGCCCTTAGGAGCATCCGTCCCAGCCCTTCCCACGTGCAGATGGAAAACAGGCCTGAGCGAGGCAGGGAGTTTTCTAAAGTCACACAGCATGTTATAGACTAGAACTAAGGCTTGAGATAGAATCACGAGGGGACACTGCTGGCTTCCTAATGTCCCATGTTGGAGAGGCTATTTTCAGTCAGTACCTCAACACCCTTCTCTCACCCAATTCCACTTCTGGGGGCTCTGGATCCAGCCCCCACTGCCTTGGACTAGGCGAGACCCAGAGCTAGCCGGCTCCCCTGGCTTGTCTCCCTGCAGGAGCTGTCCTGCGCCAGCGGGAGCGGCGGCTGGTGAACCAGAAGGAGTACCAGGAGGCCAAGCGGCTGCTGAAGGAGTTTCAGGCACGCTACAGGGAGCTGGTGCGCTGTTCGCTAAAGAAGGTGTTCAAGGCCCCAGCGCCACCTCCGGCCCACCCGGCCCTGAGCGAGGGCCAGCCTAAGTTAGGCCGCTTCCTCCAGTTGGTGGATGAGTTCTGCCCGGAGTCCACGGCCAGTGACTCAAAAGGCTAGAGATGAATACAGGGCCATGCTCGCCACCGGGCCTGTGCCCCACGCCCTCCGAGAGCTCTGCACCCTCAGTGGAGCTGGAGCCTTGGGGTTGGCTTGGCTGGGTGCGGGCCTGAGCTCAGCTCAGCCTTGCTGGCTGGCTGGCTGGCTGCAGAGTGGGGAGCTCAGCAGGACCTCCCCCTTCCCAGGCCCGGCGGGATCCGCACCTGGCCCAGCAGCAATAAAGAGTGGGTGCACTGAGCAGGGCAGGCCACGTTCTTTTTGGAGCCTGTGCCAGGCTGTCACACTGGGGAAAAATTCTGGCTTGATGTGTATTCCTAGAGTCCTTTGGGGAAGCTGCCTGAGTCCCACAGGTCCAACCGAGCTGCACTGACCGCTGGGGTGAAAAGTGGAGTTGATGGAATAGAGAAGCAGCACAGAATCTAAGGCCGAGAGAAGTTAACTTGCCCACAGCCAATGAAGTGTCTGTTTGGGGGTGTGGGAATGGGGCAAAATAGAAGCCATGAAGCTCCAAAAATGGTGCTTTTTCTGTTGGGCAGCTTCTTCTATTGTGAGAGCAAATGTGGGGAAGGAAAAGAGAATTGGGAGTTCCCTTGTCAGATAGTCATGGCCACAAAATTGGGACAAGCTGAGGAGAGGGCTTATCTGGAGTTTCCCAAGGATCTATAATCCAGTACACAAACTGAAGTCCCATATGCAAGCAGGGTGGGCTGTGCAAGGTCAAGCTGGGCTCATGTAAGTCAACTAGTTCTGGCCAAGGCAGCCTGTGAGGCTGCCCCAGTCTTGTGAGTGCCCAGTAGTCAGCACCTGCTACCGCGGATCTAGAGAAGGCCACTGGGACTGAATTCCAGAGATGTGCATTTGGGGTAGATGCTGGGTGTGACCTAGTCGCCTGGACAACCCTTATTCCTAAGGCTCCTCTCCTGAAGCTACCTACAGTTCAGACCTGGAGAACAGGCCTGCAGTTCCCAGGGTCCAGGAAGCAGTGGCACAAGAACTAAGGATCCTCAGTAAGACACAAACGTCCACAACCTAAGTTGTAATTGAGGTGATTATGGAAATATAGTCTGTAGCCACAGCTCTGACTGGAGAAGCAGAGTATATGCTGTGTTTTGAGCGTGAGATTCTATTAGGTCACAGAACATTTGCATCCTATCATGCTCAACCAGTCTCACACATGTGGCCAGTTAAATATTTACCATATCAAACACATTCTCCTTCATAGTCACATACACACGTCAAATTACAAAGTCAGTCATATCTCACTCATAGGCACCTGGACACACAGGAAATACAGTGTTACCCACAGGACCACGTGCTGGCTCACCACCGTGGGTCTCCGGGGGCCCGAAACCACCTTTCCCCTCATGTCAGGAGGGAGAATCCACCCCATCGTTCACACTAAGCCTTGCTACTCCCTTCAGCCAGAAACACTACCAGACCATAGGCACCCAGGGCTGAAAGGCTCCTGGCAACATTCTATCCCAATCTCAAGGCAGGAAGCTTTTTGTAAACACAACAGATCATTTGGCTCCTGCTTGCACATCTAGTGACAGGGAGCTCATTCCCTCCAAAGGCTGTCCCCTCCTTTGTTGGGAAAGCTATAGGACAGTTCTAGCCATTGGGTAAGTTGTCTGCCCAAGTCCCTCAGTTGTCCTAGCTTTGCTTTTTGGCCAGAGTATATCTGTTCTCTGCCCAGCCAGGCCAACCCTTAACCAATGTAAAAACATCCTGAAAAGGCTACACTTATCCAGACCAAACACAACATTCTCAGTTATTCCACAGATTGCCTCTCGTACACTTGCTAAGTTTGGAGGTGGTTCCCCTTACTCACGACACCTTGATGCAGTATTCCAGCAGGATTGCCCACTCCCTTCTTTGGATAGAATATTTTTATTCACTCTTAAGATCAATGGCAGTACTGCTTTGGCCTTTTTGAAGCTTTTATCAGCAGACTAATATCAGAACCGCTGGAAATTGACCTTTGACATCTGATGTAGGATTTTTTACATTTCTCTTAGTCTCAGCTTGGAGTTCCAGGCTGCCAAAATCATTCTGCATTTCTGATTATTTGCTTTGTCATCATGGAGACTGTTTACAGAGTGTAGCGTGCTGGCCCCTTTTCCCTCACGTCACCAAATCATGCCAATGTAGAACTCCCAGGAAGGAAGCCACGAGGCGGCTATGCAGTGACTGCTAACTCATCTAGGAAGAGACCTAGGTAAGAACACATGGGAGCTAATGTTTCTTCTTCATCCTATCAGCTTCAACTCAAGTATGTCCTTGAACTCTCCTTCCAAACTGAATTGGGCTTTCCTTTTCTTTGACCTAGTATGACCTCATAGGGCATCACAATGCATTGTGCCAAGAAATGATACTTCTGGTGCTCAGCCCAGGACCTAAATCCAGGAAATACTCTGTAAGACTGAATTTGTGAATAAAATGGGAAATAGCTCAGGCTGGCTATCTGAATGGGATTATACACAGCTATGGCTAAGACAGTCGAAGCCAGTGCTGGGCATGTTCCCACAGGCACTGCTTGGACTTCCTTTAAAACCACCGTGTCTCTATCAAAACAGCACTCCAACCTGCCTGCAATTCTAAGGTAGGGTATCAGACTACTAACTCCCTCCCGTTGAGTGAATTGCTGCATCTCTGGAAGCCATACAATCACTTACCACTTGTGTCCAACTCTTTTCTATCTCAGGAGTAATCTGGACTTAGTTACATTACCAGGGTTCAGATTTTTAAAAAATCTTCACCCAAGGCTTATTTTCATTTACCCTTGAGAGAGTAAAGGAGAGGGAGAGAATGAGAGAAACACTGATGTGAGAAATATTGATTGGTTGCCCCAGGTATCAAACCTGCAACCTAGGTGTGTGCCCTGAGAATTGAACCCGTGACTCTTCAGTGCATGGGACGACACTCTAACCACTGAGCAACACTGGCCAGGGCACCAGGGTTCAATTTTTAACTTTCGTATTTTCTCTGTGATACAGAGCAGCTCATTTAACCTTACCCATAGCAGCAATGGAGTTTTCAGTCTCTACGGGTCCTTCTGGTGTTAAAAATACTCTTTGAGGGAGGGTTCCTCACATTGAAGAGACCTGACCTCATCCTTATCTCAGTGAAGTGAACCAGCACCCATAACTCATCAAAAAGGCCTTTTGGGTGGTAGCCACCCTCCCTGTTGTCAACATAGTCACTCTCCCTAGCACATCTGATCTACCATTAGAGCTTCAACACCCCCCACACCCCCACCCACACCCTGGGCTGGCTCTCACTGTAGCCCTGTATCCACAGGCAGAGGGGAAACTGGCTGCCACACTCTTCTGAGCCTTCTCCACTCTTCTAGCAGTGATTCTCACCCTTCCTAATGCTGCGACCTTTCAATACATGTATGTGGTCCTACCTGCACGTAGGAGGACCCACCTGGAGGCGGATAAAGGAGTGGTGACTCAGTTCCTAAGGCCATCGGAAATATGTGTTTTCCAATGGCCTTAGGCAACCACTGTGAAAGGGTGGTTCGGCCCTCAAAGGGGTCACGACCCACAGGTTGAGAACTGCTGTAACAAGAGCAAAACAAAAGAAATTGTTTGTCCCACCAATTCTTCAAAATTAGGTGGGCCCATCCTTTTTCCAAATCACTTATCCAAGGTGCCAGTGAGCACCGGAGAGAGTCAACTGTGGCCACCTGAGAACTGATTTAGATGCAGATTGTGCCTCACAGTACTTGCTGCCTCAGGGTACCTCCCACCCCTGCAGTGGGTGCAGAAGGAAGACTGATCTCTGTTGCCCTGTGAGGCTGTCCAGAGGAAAGCCAACCTGGAAAGCAACAGGAACTATACTATTATCCAAGGATAGTGAAGGAGGATGGCTCCACCCTGAGGTTTTGAGCCAGGACAGCAGAAAAGCAGTCAGTGGCTTTCGAGTCAGAGGACCCAGCTTTCAGGCTCTGTCAAGGCCAGCTTCCCACCCATAAATGAGGGCCACTCCTCTCACAGGTCCAGGCTACAAGGTAGTGAGTGTGGTATACAGAGCATTTTCTGTTACTTTATGAGCCAAGGGACAAGTTCTGTTTTCATACCTATGACTAGCTGCATTGTTTCTTCAAATCATTTTAATGACCCTCTTTGGAAGAGGTTGGACCAGATGATTTCAAAGTTCCCTCAAGTGCTGGTTTACCAGGTATGGCATAGACACATTAGTCCTTCAAATTGGTTTTACAGGTTTAGATGAAACAGGGATACATTTGTTCTCTGGTGGATGAGAAACTGACACCAAGGAGATATTTAGGAGTTCCTGAGCAGTGGTTCCAAAAGAGGGTATTTTAAAAAATCATGTATGGTGGCCCTGGCCAGGTGGCTCAGTTGGTTGGAGCATCATCTTGAACACCAAATTGTTGTGGGTTCGATTCCCGGTAAGGGTACATACCCAGGTTGCAGGTTCAATCCCTGGTTGGGGCACATATAGAAGGCAGCAGATGTTTCTCCCTCTCTTCCCCTCTCTCTCAAATCAGTGAACATCTCCTTGGGTGAGGATTAAAAAACAAAAATGCCAAAATCAGATGTTCTTAAGGCAGTCCTAATGTGAAAGAATAATGTCATCCTATATATTTGTTGTGTACTCAAATTCTTGGTGCATTCAATAGAAGAATGGTTGAAATATTAGACTAACAGTCGTAAATTGGAAATAACGTAACTCAGAAGACGTAGCTGTATATCATGGAAACCCCATTCCACCTAATTTTTCCCACCATTCTGAATGCTAAAGCAAGACATTCCAACATGAGGCATCTCCCAGAGCAAAGGCAGCATCAAACACACACCATCTCAGCTTAGCCCCAATTTGCCTAAGATTGTTTTCCAGAGATCAGGTTTTCAACTAGAAACAGAACATTTACTTTCATGAGTTTGCTTTACTGTATTTTCAACTTGGGCCTCTCATCAAGCAGGTAAACATCCACTGAAGGATGCAATTTGGTGCTGTTTAAATAACACACACCATCCTATTTGATTCTGTGCCGTTTCGTTGCCAGAAGCATCCCCGATGGGGCGTGCCCTGTTCTGAGTCCTCTTTGTCAAATGTTCTTTATGATGGGCGAGAGGGTGGCCAGCAGTAGCGGCCCACAAGGCTCTGGGCCCCCTCTCCAATTCTAATGCACACAGCAGGTTGAATAAAACCAATACACGGCCCACCTTCTATTTCTAGGTGGGAGGGGGAAAGGCCCTAAGGACAACTGTGTTTGCATAAAGAATTGAGAGTAAACAGCACATAAGCACCAAGGGAAAAAAGTTGGCATTTATGATAACCATGTTTTTCCTTGCACAGTTACCCGTCCTCTCCTTAGGACTTGAAGTGTTCTGCTGGAGGCCAAGGGTTGACCCCACTGAGGCAGAGCCCCTGCTCCCAATTGGTATAGCTTGGACGGTGGGCAGGGCCAACAAGGGAGAATCTGACTGCTGCCTTCAGGAGCCAGGGCCCAGAAGCTACTTGAGCAATAACAGCTTGAGCTTTGAGGAGTCACTGCCTGTTTTTACCCCTTACTGAATCAGAGGAAAGGAAGATGAGCAAGCCTGGCCTTATCTTTCCTGATTTAAGACACCAGAAAAGGTAGAGAAGGAGCCTGTTCCAAGTTTGAGGCTGCCTCCCACACTTACTGACAAGACATTAAGGAAGCATTTACTCACAAAGCAAGGTCTGTAAATATTTTTCTTAGGAAGAACATAGAACAATGTGCACATACAGTCTTGGCACTTTTCCTTCATCCAGTTCAACCAGTCTCTAAATTAGTGTCCTCTATATATCTCCAAGTATCTTTTTCTGTAGAACAATCCTCTTCAGAAAGTTACAGTGAATAATAACCATGTGTAAAGATACATTTCTGGATCCTCTTTGGAGGAGAGTCTATTCAGCAGCCTCTTTCCCTAGAATCCCACTGGCCCCCAATTCCCCAAAATATAGACCTGCTTTCTCATTGAGTCCCAAGAATTTATAGGCAGCTATACTCACTTCTGAAAACCAGGCCAAAAGAACACTCTATGGTTTGAAGGAAAAGGCTGGCTGAGTAATATTCAAGTCCCTAGGTTCTTAATTTTCAAAGAAAATTGAAGGGCTGGCTGTGTTTTAACCCTTGGTAGTTAAAAATGACTGTTCCAATAAAAATATATCACTTCCAAAGATTCCATATTCACATTACTCACAGTATGGGGGTGTTCCATACCTGGGTATATATTCAGGGGGATATAGGTACATTTTAATTCTAACTGAAAAAAAAAAAAATCAGGAAGAAAAAGCTGTTAAAACAAAAAGCCTCCTAAATCATTTGGTTTCATGACCAAATCGTGTGTGCGTATGTGCATAAATTAAAGGACTATTTATTCAGACCTTAGAAAACTATAATATAAAATAGGACACAGGGCACTGGATATCAAGTTCACAATTTTTTTTGTTTTATCCTCACCCGAGGACATTTTTCCATTTTTTGTTCAGAGAGTGAGAGGGAGAGAGAAGAAGAGAGAGAGAGAAACATCAACGTGAAAGGGACACATCGAGTGGCTGCCACCCGCACGACCAACCAGGGCCGAGGACAAACTGCAACCGAAGTACATGCCCTTAGCGGGAACCGAACCCGGGTCTCTCCGGACCGCAGGCTGATGCTCTAACCGCTGAGCCAAACCGGCCAGCACAAGTTCCCAATTTCTTAAAAAAGAGGAGGGATAGCAAGGGGGGAGCATGACTTGGATGATTTCCATGCCTATTCCAGCTATATAATATTTTATGATTATGATCCAGCCTTCAATTTTTCTTTCCTTCTCCTCCTGCTGGCCTTTCATCTCAATGAGAAGCCAGGCAGGAAAAGAAAAGAAACCCCATGTAACTGCCAGCCGCAGTCAAGAGGGCTGACGGGGGAGCAGTTGGGAGGTTACTAAGTTGAGATGTGGCCTCTGAACATACCAGTGATCCACGGCCTGCTTCATTTCATGGGGCTTATGCTAAAAGCAGCTTCTGAAGAGATCTTATTGTACTATAATCCTGGAGGATAAAATTCATTCTCTTCTGGGAAAATTACTTAGGAATGGAAAGCAGTGTTGCAATCAAATTCACAAATACTGATGTGAATATCTAAAATGTTCAAGGCAGCCTGCTTGGTGCTAGACAGTATTTTGAATGGGACAATCCAAGCAAGATCATGATGATGAAAGAAGTGGCCTTTCATAAGACCACTAACAAACTCTCCAGCCACATATACATTCATGTACATTCCATTAGACACTGAGCTCCACAAGAGCAGACTGTCCTTTCCATCTCTGTATCACCACGACCCAGGACAAAGTAGGCACAAGTTCGAAGCTCCGGAAATATCTGTCAAATGGAACAGAAAGGAGAACTGCACAGCCTTCAGTCGTCAGCTTCACCAGTCAAGCACAGTGGCAGCTTCCCATTTTAGTCAGCTTGTCAGTTTATAATCATACAGCAATTAATTAAGCAGCTTTAATCTCTTAAGGGCATTTTAGGGAAAATGAACAAAAAACAGAGAGAGAAGGCATTCATCACCAGCACTACCTCCAGGCAAAATTTTTAAAATTAAATAAAAATAATAAATGAAGCCACTTACAAAAGGTTTTCCTGGGAAGCCTGAGCCAAGAAGAATTAACCTTTTAAAAAGAGGCAATTATATGAAAGGGGCCAAGGAAGGGCTGGATACACACTTCGCTGACTTGACACCGACCCAACAGGCCCAGATGATTTCTTCCAACAGATACAATCAACAGAGTCATGAACATGTTCCCAAAGTATCTTTCCCACCTTCTCAGGGTACCACATTTCTTAAATTTCCCATCAGAATGACCTCCATCCTCCAAGCTCTCATAACTTCCCCTTTAATGAGAAAAAGCAAAGAATGCGCATATACACAAGGAACAACAATAGTAGAACATGGGAAATTCATATGGTGAATCAGATTCCAATGATTTGTGAGATACTTTTGCTTTGTGAAACAGTGCATCTCTCATTCTAGTTGAGAGACCCTCCCAATCATTCTATTTTCCTATCTTGTCTTTCTCTCTTTTTCTCCAAATAATTCATGTCAACAACTCCATTTGTGACCAACTGCACAATCAAGCAACAGTAGAGGGAAATTTTTCAGAAAGTGTTCAGGTTTTAGTTATTAAGTATGGGAGCATCTTAAAATACAGATAATACCTTAGTGGTTTTTACCTCCTCCAAAGCCAACCAGATTAAAAATTACACCTCATCCCTCCTTAACCTAAACTGGTTTGCCTATATTTGAAGGACTACTGCTCAGCTGGAAGTATGGAAAACAACATCTGTCAGTACCACTGCAGGCCCCACAGCAGGGCCAAGGAGGAACGTGTGTAAGCTGGATCCATGATTCAGAATATTCTCTTAAGAAGTAGCTTTTCACTCTGCACCTGAAGCTGAAACTTGTTGCTGTTACTATGCAATTTCTTAAAATGAAAGTATTACTCTGGGGGAATATTTAAAATATATTTTTTTTCTATTAAAAATATTTATTTTTTCTCCAAAAACAAACATTGGTTCCAACAGAAATTATTTTTCGAATTATTGGAGATATAGAAAAAGATGGCAAGTGGAAAAATAAGTGTCTTTGCTACTACCAATGAGACAGGCCTCCCAATAATACTAAGATCGAAAAGGAACTATCTAAAATGGCAGCAACTGTTTTTTCTCTAAGGGCATTTATAAGTCACCCTCTGTCTTCTGCAGACCAGTGCCAACTCTTCTATCCTGTGCACCAATGTGCCCTCCAGCAACCTTGGAAGGGCATGTGTTGCTGGTAGGGCCTAGAACTGAAGTGGTGTGAATATAAAGTAATAAGACTGATGTGTTTTTAAACACACATCTTCACGTGTGCACACACAGACACAGAGAACCCAGAATACAGACATTCAGGTGAGTGACACTCCCCACCAAAGTAGTCAGTGAGGAGGTTCCACATAGCTCAGTGATCACCAAAATGCTCATCTCTGGAACTCTCTGGGAACTGTTTATGGGCTGCACAAGAAACTGGCTCTGACAATTTGACGGCTGTACCTCATTTATGACTCCAAACCCTCTTGTTTACCACCTTCTCTTCCAGAGGTTTCAACCGCTTCTGACTAATTTCAAACTTAAAATTCTCTCTCCTATAATCCCAAAAGATTACAGATCTGCTCAGAGAAGGAAGGCAAATCCCCTGAGAGAAGAAAATAAGGTGACAGAATAAATCCCTAGTGACCTTGATCACTGAGTCATTGTTCTGGATCCTCAGCTTCTGCCTTAATAAGAGGAAGAAGTTGGAATAGATGACCATTAAGGTCTCTTTCAGTTCTAACATTTTAGGAGTCTGTTTCCAGATGTTTCTATACTTTGAGGATAGTTCCAGAAATGTTTTCACCAATGGCAACATCACTGGAAAAACTATGCAGTATCCTGCTGGGGTCACTCAAGGGGGACAACATACACTGGGATATATAAGCTCTGAAAGGTTTGTTAAATGCGAGTCACATGACTTTATAGTAACAGCTCATACATGCACAGGGAATGCCAGCCCATCTGAGATTCCCTAAAATCACATCTTAATCCCTATTCTCAATGAGCCCAGATGGGCAGAAGCACCAAGCACCACCAGGGATGCAAAAGACACATGGTGTCAGCTGCTAAGGAATATAAACCCCAAAGGTCCATGGGACTAAATTTACCAGCTGCATCCAGGCAGATACCTTGTTTCCATAGTATGGAGTTTCAGCATTGTTCTTGCCTGACTTCTGGGCAAAGTTTTTGGACTTTAGATCAACATTGCAGATAACCCTTGGCCATGTGAAGAATAATAATGAGGTCTAACTGTCCTTTACCTCCCAGGGTGGAACCCTGGAAAAAAGAAGGCTGTAAACTGTGAGGGTGGGACTAACTGCACAGCGTATGTTTACAGTTCCCATCTATCTCAATTATCTGCATGTGGATTTTACACAATGGGTTCTCAATGCCTAGCCAGATTTCCCTAGGCTCCCTTGGCATGGCCTTGGGTTGTAGTCCATTATAACAACCTGTTAGTGTGGAAAATCCATGGGATTTGTTGTTGGGAGACCCAGTGGTCAGTCTGGGCTATGCCACTTAGTTGAGAGAACCTGCACACCTGCACTGCAGTTTCATCATCTAAAAATGGGGTTAATCCCATTTACATGTTAGGTCTCCTGGTAAGACCAAGTTAAACAATGACTGAAATGGTCTGTCAACTATAGAGCATTAATCAAATGTTACTTTTTAACAGGGAATGTTCATTAGCTTTCTAGAAGCATAAACTCAACTGATTTCATTAGGAATATTTACTTGTGGCAAGGGTCAGGAGAAGGGCTAACATAATTTTTTTGGATCTGCCAAAGAACTATACTGTTCCACTTCCTTGAAAAAGATGGAACTTATTTTTATCTGCAAGGTCAATTTAAAAATACACCCTGTTAAAAGAAGTCAGGAGATCTATTGGTTTGAGAAGGTATCCCCTCTTTCCTCTACCACTTTCAACTCTGGCCACTATGTTTTTGAATCTCATTCCAAGTAGGTGCTGCCAGATTTGGCCCAGAAGCCCTCAGGCATGGGTTACTTAGGGGGTTGGGGCTGCTTCTGGCCTGGGTCACAGGGAGGCAGAGACCCAGTTCCCTTGGATATAGACTACAAAGGCCCTGGAACCTCTCAGAACCACATTTCGATGTTTTGCCATGAAGAAAAACCCAAAATGGGAACACTCCGCTCTTCAGGATCAATGATCAAGCCCAAAGACCTCTTAAAAACAGGTAACACTGTTCACGAGGTGCTACTTGGCCCCGGCCATGCTGCTGGACCGTAAGAGATACTGATCCACGCTTCCTTTTCGCCGACTCACAGTCCGCCTCTCGCTGTCAAACATGCGCTGCAGCTGCAGAGCCAGCTGCCTGTCCTCTTCCTCTTGCCGCAATTTCTGCTCCCTCTCTCGCAGGACTGGGTCTGTTGGGGCCAGACCCACCTCACCACTGTTTTGTCGCAGTCTCTTAAGGGACCCATTTTGTTCCAAATGCTTGGTCTTACAGTGTCTTTTTCGGCCCCGACGCAAGGAAGGAAGCGGCTCCTCACATAGGTTGTCCGCCAGAACACCATTAGGCAGATCAAAATGGTTCACCGTCTTCAGCTGTTTCTTTGTTTTGAGGACCCCACCCAAAACACTGTTTTTGGGCAACACCGAATTAACTGCCGAGATTTTCATGGCTGTGCTTATACAAGCTTTGTCTAACTTGGCATCTGGGGTTGACCCTGACCCTTCAAACTGCTCTCTCTCCAGAGAAGTCCCACTGGCTCCCACTCCGAATTCTGAAGAACAGCAGGTTTCCGATGAGATCTCAGTGCTCCTTTTACTGTCACTGACCTGTTCTGCTTTTGTTTGGCTAACAGAGGGGAAATAATCCAGGTCCGCAGGGGTGGGTCCAGGATACTCAGAGAGCACATGCCCACTGCACAATCTTGTATTTAAAGCCAGAAGTGGCTTCTCCTTGCTAGAATGGATGACTTCAGAGACTAGCAAGTCTTCCCCTGTTTCTGGAGCCAATGAAGTGAGGGTGGCTTTCGAAAGGGTTTTTTTGATCTGCCGCTCCTGAAAGATCTGTTCCCACTTTTTAAGGATCCGTGGACTGGCCTCATAAGAAGTCTGCTTCTGTAGGCTTCTATTTAGGTTGCGAGGTGTTGATTTGATGATGAGGGGACTTAACACACGGCCATCAGGGAGTCTCTTGGGAGGAGTACATGGTGAGCACACAATGGGCTTGAAATGGTTGAGTTCTTCAGAGATGCTGTCATTGCTCTCTGGGCTGATGGAGCGCTCAGGCTTGTGCAGTGAAGCCAAGGATGAGAGGGAGCTGAAGGGCAGACGCTTTTCAATAGTCAAGTCAGGGGCAGAGAGGCAGCGGTTGTTCTGAGTGGACAAGAGGACACCAATAATGGGATTGGAGGTTGGGGTTATAGTTGTGACCTGAAATAGATTAAAAAGATTATACATACATATATATATATTATGTATATATATATTATGTATATATTATCATAATTCCTTCAGAATGGTAGAGGGGTAAGGAGGGAAAGAGTAAGAAAAGGGATAAAGAGTGATGTGAGCCGAAGAAATGGGGAAAATCCCTAACCTAGAATGTATACCATTTGCAGCAATTCCTACAAACTTGAAACAATAAAATTAAAAATCTATAGGAAAAAAAGTCATCTAGAACTTTAAAAAACATTCTTCTGTCAACCCTCATGCCACCCATCTGCATACTGATTCAAACTCTCTTCTTTTATACTTATTTGTAAAGTCCTCCAACGTAACTAGTATGCTGAGGACCTTGTGCCTCTTCTCATGGACAAAGGCTATGGGGCAGGACTAGAAAGCCCCAGGGGATGTGTCTGAGGGATACCTTGGCTTTGCTGGTTGGGGCTGCTCGGAGTCTGCTCTTCATTCTGTCCTGAGCAGTGTCACTGCAGCTCTGACTCCTTTCTACCTTTAGGTTCCTAAAAAAGAATAAATAAAAGACAAATAGTCAAGAATAGACCATTATGCTAACTGAGGAAAAATGAATGAAAATCTCTTTTGTGTTTTGAAAGCCACCCACCAAGAAAGGCAATTCCCTTGGGCAACTGCAATAGAAAATTAGTTAATTTATTAACAACACACATTCTAAGAACAAATCCTGTCAAAAGAGGAGTTCTCCAGAGAGGACTTTTGGTTTAAGCCTTTGTTTCCAAACTAGACCTGGTTGTTTTGTTCATGCTTTGAGAGATATAGGGATATTTCATCTTCCTTAATAGGGTGGATACAGTGTTCAATCACCTTTGCAAACAACAGATTTATTTTTTTCCTCCAAATGTCTCTACAAGCAACCTAAATCAGCCATGAAACAAATACTTAAGTGCCTACAAAATGCACAGCAGTGCACTAGATTAAAAAAAAAATTTTTTTTTCTTTATTGATTTTAGAGAGAAAAGAAGGGAGAGGGAGAGAGAGATAGAAACATCGATGAGAGAGAACATAGATTGGCCACCTCCTACATGCCCCCTGGGGATATGGCCCATAACCTGGGCATGTGCCCTGACCGGGAATTGAACTGGCGACTTCTTAGTGCATGGATCAACGCTCAACTACTGAGCCACACTGGCCAGGCATTGTGCACTAGATTTTTATGTAGGGAATCAAAATTAAATGTAGTCTCTCCCTTAATCCATTACATTTGAGCTTCCAAAGACCCAACTCTTCGTGATTTAGAAAATCTCAAGAACACATGAATTTTTTTTCTTATGCATACATTATATTATGATTTTACAACTCAAACCAAAACTTACAGTACCTGTATCAAACATTAATCTTACTGTGTAAGAATTATGTGCAGATGACTATCACCTACCTCACAGACTGTCAGTAGGAATTCTTTTTTATTTTTTAAATATGTTTTTATTGATTTCAGAGAAAGGAAGGGAAAGGGAGAGATAGAAACATCAATGAGACAGAAATATCTGTCAGCTGCTTTCTGCATGCCCTCTACTGGGGATCAAACCTGCAACCCGGGCATGTGCCCTGACTGGGAATCTAACTGGTGACCTCCTGGTGCATAGGATGATGCTCAACGAACTGAGCCACACCAACTAGGAGAGAAATTCTTTTTTTTTTTTTTTTTTTTTTTATATCCTCACCCGAGGACATTTGTCCATTTTTCGTACAGATAGAGTGGGAGGGAGAGAGAGGAAGAGAGAGAGAGGGAAACATCGATGTGAAAGGGACACATCGAGTGGCCGCCACCCACACGACCAACCAGGGCCGGGGACAAACTGCAACCGAGGTACATGCCCTTAGCGGGAACCGAACCCGCGTCTCTCCGGACTGCAGGCGGACGCTCCAACCGCTGAGCCAAACCGGCCAGGGCGAGGAGAGAAATTCTTGATTTTCTTATTACTCACCTTTATTTTCTACTCTCCAATTCTTGTCTAACACATGCCTGGTGAGAATAATGATTTTACAAAGGTTTGCAACTGATATATATATGTGTGTGTGTGTGTGTGTGTGTGTGTGCGCGCGCGCGTGTGTGTGTGTGTGTTACAACCTATTCAACAAGCACCTGTCATAGACTTTCTATATGCCACTCACTGATGAGCATTACCTGGGCACTGAAAATACAGAGAGTAATAAGATATAATCTAGGTCTTCAAGGAATAAGAGTCCAGTGAGGCACACAAATAAATAATTCAATAAAATACAGTGAAATGGTACAACAACAAAAAAGTGTGCCTAAAAGACTGACTGGTATAAAGAGGGAATTTTTAGTTACCTGGGATGGAGTGAGAGCAGGGTGGGAAAAAACAGAAGTCAAGGTGGATACACAGTCATGCAGATGATCCCAAACAGAAATTATTTCCCTAAATAGTTCTACTTAGCTTTAGAATGGAATACATCACATCTACTTTTTTGTAGCAAAAGATTTACTTATAAAGTTTTTCTCTGCCAGGAGAAATTTATAAAGGTGGTAATAAGGTATATTCCCAGGGTAACTTGCCTCTCCCTACATCTCTAGCAAAGGCCTCTCATACCTATCCACAGTGGCTTCCATTCTAGCATTTCTTTGTTATTTCTCACATTCAAAACCCTCTCATCCTATGTCTCATGGCCACATCACCTTGCTAGGTGGCTTCAATCTGATGAACTAATCTATGCTATGTTATTAATAGGAGAAAGTGGTGGCCAACCTGCATTGCATGTCTGCATTTACCAAGAAAATTCAACACTGAACCTAAACAAATAATGTGAGTTGTACTATCTAGTGGGAGGTAGGGAACTTCATTACCCATTTATAAAGGCAGCTGCTTAGAAGTCAGCTTGGTTTGTACTTTACCTAGAATAGTATTGAAATCCATTTGCACTCCTAGAACTTACACAAACTGTCAGTGGTGTAAGCCACCCAGAAGTAAACTGGATGGCAAATTAAAGTGCTGGGGTGAATAACATATACTTTGGGTCAGGAAGAATGGATACAGAACTGAAAAAGACAGCATTATTATTTCAAATATATGAATTGTTTGGCATGATTTCATTAGAGAAAGAAGCGTACACTTAGACACTCATCAACCTAAGAAAGAACTTTGTAACTTTCAATAGTCATATCAGTCCACTGATAGCCTTAAGAGGCAATGAGCTTTGTGTCATTAGAAGTGTTCAAACTGAGGTTAGACCTATACTTTAAGGTTCAAACATTCCATAATTAGGAACTAGCTTGATATAATTTTAAAAAACTGGTTATGAATTAATTTTGTCAGCAGTAACAGTCAAATTTAAAAACAGTGGCTACATGCCCAAGTTATCAGATGCACAAATGACAAGTACCTATTGCTGAAGAGAACCTCTTTACATATTCCCTAAATGCTATTTGTGGTAAAAATGATGATAATAATAATAATAATAATAATAATAATAATAATAAACTTTTAAAAAGGCCCAGGAAGTGCTATAGGTGACCGGTAATTATATAGCTAAACTCTCCAAGAGTTATCTTCTAAGAGTTTTATAGTTTTAGCTCTTACTTTTAGGTATCTGATCCCATTTGACTTAAATTTTGTATATGGTGTGAAGTTGGCATGTAGATACCTACCTGTCACACAACCATATGTGAAGAGATGATTCCTTCCCCCATCAAATGGTCTTGGTACCCTTAATGAAGATCAACTTACTAGCCTTGGCCAGTTTGGCTCGGCGGTTAGAACATTGGCCTATGGTCCAGAGAGACCCGGGTTCAGTTTCTGCTAAGGGCATGGACCTCAGTTGCAGTTTGTCCCCGGCCCCGGTTAGGGGCATGTGGGTGGCAGCCACTCAATGTGTCTCTCTCACATCAATGTTCTCTCTCTTCCTCCCTCTCTCCCCCCCACTCTTTCTGAAGATAATGCAAAAATGTCCTCAGATAAAAAAAGAAAGAAAGAGCCCTGGCCGGTTTGGCTCAGTGGTTAGGGCGTCGACCTGCGGTCCTGAGAGACCCGGGTTCGGTTCCCGCTAAGGGCGCGTACCTCGGTTGCAGTTTGTCCCCGACCCTGGTTGGTCGTGCGGTGGCGGCCACTCGATGTGTCCCTTTCACGTCGATCTTTCTCTCTCTCTATCTCTTCCTCTCTCTCCCTCCCACTCTATCTGTACAAAAAATTGAAAAATGTCCTCAGGTGAGGATAAAAAAAAAATTAAAAAAAAAATAAACAAATAAATAAATAAATAAAAAGAAAGAAAGAAACCTCATACCCTTTAGCTAATATTCCTAAACCCTGCCCTTCTCCACCAACCCTAAGCAACCACTGGTACACTTTCTGTCTCTACATATTTGCCTATTCTGGACATATGCTAGTATTCATTTGAAGATGGGTAGAAACACTGTTTCCACAGCATAATGCAAAAGGATTTGAGTCCCCTCAAATAGCATGATAACTGGACCGCTTCTTAGATCTCTGTAGCAACTGTGTGTTTTTTATAACAAGGCAGGGTATAAATTATCCAGCAAAAAAGAAGAAAGGCAGCGCTCTGTTGCAAAGGTAGATCATTTGAAGGCAAAGATCCAAGGACAGGGCCTTTTGTCACAGGGTTCTGAGAATGGCTTGATAGAAAGAGCATAGATTTACAGTAAAGAGAGACCTGAGTTCCAATTGCATCTGTCATTCTACAGAGGTGTTAAGTTCTTGGGGGAGTTACTTAACTTCTATGAACTGCATTTTCCTTAGCTGTAAAATGAGAATAATATCACAAATCTTATAGGCTTAATGTGAGAACTACATGAAAAGAGGTATGTGAAGCACTCGACATGGCAGGAAGCACCAGGAAAAGGCTAGTTCCCTCAGCATCTAGCCAGCCCCTCTGAAAACTACCAGGATATTTCTATTCTAACATGTCAAAGATATTACTGTCACCTCTAAACCCTGTCATTCTTCTTAAGTTCCACATCACTTCTCCTTAAGCTATTTTCATTTTCTAACCATATTCCACTACTTTTAACAGAGGCAGCATAGGGATCTATAAGGTCATGGGGGGCAATGGGGTAGTGGAAAGAGCCAAGAAACCTCAGTTCTCAGTTTCCTACTATTCTAGCAGTCTAAGATTTGGCAAGCCATATTCTCTCTGGGCTTTAGCCTTCTCATCCATAAAACAAAATAATTAGATAAGGTGATATTTAAGGTCTTATTCAGCTCTAAGAGTTCACATTCTAAAAGATAACAAAATAGCAGCAACCATACCTTATCATGTGCCAGCAATCCTTCTAGACACCATTTACTTAACCGTTGAGCCAAACCGGCCAGGGCTAGGCACCATTTACTTAAAATATAACTTTGTATGGAATTCCAGTACTAGCATTACTGCATCACTTTCTATTATTTTAAACTGCAAAGAGGACAGATGGTTTGATTATATTTCTTTTTATGGTTATTCTCTTTTTCCAAGTAGAATTTCAAGTGACTTACAGCAAAAATACATAAAAACTGAACCTTAATGCAGAATAAAGACTACACTAAGTAACAAATAAGGGAAGGGCATATAAAAAAATACTCTTTTAAATTATAGGGCAGCCTGGCCGGTGTCTTAGTGGTTGAGTGTCAATCGATGTACCAAGAAGTTGCCAGTTGGATTCCCGGCCAGGGCATATGCCTGGGGTGTGGGCCCAATCCCCAGTGGGGGGCATGTAGGAGGCGGCCAGTCAATGTTCTCTCTCATTGATGTTTCTCTCTCTCTCCCTCTCCCTTCCTCTCTCTCTCAAATCAATAAAAGAAAAAAAATTAAATACAATTTTAGGGCATGTGTAACTGCAGAACAGCTCAGAATGGTCCTATCCTGTTTAATGAGATACTGAGCTTCTTTTCGGAGACAACAGACCAAAACCGCAAGTCATGCAGCTAAAGCATGTGCAAAGGAGAGAACTTTGACCTCCAGCTGCATCTGGAAGCAAGGGACTGGGACATAACCAGAACTTGAACACCAGAACCCTTTCAGAAAAGAAAGAAGCAGACACTTAGACACTCATCAACCTAAGAAAAAACTTTGTAACTTTCAATAGTCAGGTCTGTTGTCCAGGAAGGTCCTGTGATGACACCCCTTACCATAAATAACCAAGCACCAAGGTCCTCCAGTTAAAACTTGCCCACCAGTGCTTCCGCATGCCTGTTTCCCCTATATCTTAAAAAGCCACCCTGAACCTTGGGATCAGGGAGTTTGGGCTTTTGAGCATTAGCTTCCCGTTCTCCTAAGTGGTGCCATTCATAATTAAATAGCCAATATTTCTCCACTGCAATTCTTGGTGTTTAGTGTTTGGCTCTGCTAACACCAGATGGATAAAGTCTTTCTGTTCTGTAACATATGTTGCCTGAAGCCATGATGACTGAATTGAAATCTCTGTCCTAATCTTAAACTTCCTGATGGCCAGCCAAAGCAAAGAGGAAAACACAACTGGACATGTAGATCTTAGAAAAGGCACTAGCTCAACAGAGAGATTTTTTAGGCTGAGCTTTCAGAAAAATATGCAACCAGATTTTTTGTTTGATTCCAGTTGAGAAGAGGGGAATTAGGAGCAAAAAGAAACAAATTTTAAAAGCAAATAAACAGCCCTGGCAGGTTTGGCTCAGCGGTTAGCATGTCAGCCTTCAGACCAAAGAGTCGCTGGTTTGATTCCAGTCAAGGGCACGTACCTCAGTTGCAGTTTGGATCTCGGCCCTGGTTGGGGTCTTGTGGGAGGCAAACAATCAATTTGTCTCTCTCATATCAATGTTTCTCTCCCTCCCTCCCTCCCTCACTCCTGCGTGAGGATTAAAAAAATAATAAAATAAAAGCAAACAAACAAACCAGTTTTTCCGATATTTAAAATACAATTTAACTTTACAATTGTACATCAAGTTAAATTTTTTCGATGTGCATATACTCTGTGATTAACTTAGAAATGACCTAAGGTTAACTATTACTCTATCTGCCTAGTTAGAAGAAGTTTCATTTTCGAATGGGCTGTAGAACTTCATTAATAGTGCTGCAAAGCCCTCTTACAGGCTTTGAATTTTTCAAATGAAAACAGACCAAGCTGTTGGCAAGATTCACTGCCAGAATCTGTTGATGGATTCCTTCCAAAATAACCATCCTATCAGGCCTACTCACTCTTACCTCCTCCATGCTTTTGGGCTTAAGAAAGAAAAGTTCATAAAGTAGATAAGTAAAACAAATGCAGACTTATTTAATTTAAATACAGTTGTAAAAACTTTAAAAGTTTTTACATATGAACATTCCTTAGGAAAAGAACTTGCAGAGAAAAACTTTTGCTGCTGCTAAACAGACAGAAAAAAATGCATTTGAAATATCCAAAAACTAGAAACAATGCTAATTATTTTTTTATTGCAGTAAAATATATATAACATAAAAGTTACCATTCTATGTTTACAGTCACATTGTTGTGCAACCACCACCAAGCTAATTCTTTTTCAATATATCCATATGCTACATCTCATTGTCAGAACTAACAACTCCACAATGTTTTTCTAAATAACACATGCAACTGAAACTTAATATTTTCTTACCTAAGGAAAAAAGCATGTTGACTAAATAAGAGATCAATTCACAGTATTACCATAACAGTAACATCAGCAAATGATCGGCCCTCGAACCACAGAGTCTCGGGTTCCATTTCGGTCAAGGGCACGTACTTCGGTTGCAGGTTGGATCCAACTGATTGATGTCTCTGTTTCTCTTTCTCTCTCTCTCTCTCTCTCTTTCTCTCTCTCTCTCTCTCTCTCTCTCTCTCTCTCTCTCTCTCCCTCCCTCCCCCCCTCCCTCCTTTCCTCCCTCCCTCCCTTCCACTCTATCTAAAAATCAGTGGAAAAACATCCTTAGGTGAGGATTAACAACAACAAAATATAAATACTGAAATTCAGAAATGTGTAATATTTTCCTATAAATGAGTTCCATTGTGGTTCAATGATACAGGACAAGGAGGGGCCAAAGAGCAGGAAAAGAAGATATATTACAGATATTCCAGAGTCACACCTAATCAAAAGCATACCCCACAATACAGGCTTTATGTTTTGCCCTTTAGAGAAGAATTTCATAAGTTTCTTGACAGGCATTTCTAGGTAATGACATATTAACCTGCAATTAGCTTTAAAAGAATGAATTACAAGGGTAGAGACTGGGGCAATTTGGCCTTGGCATCATATTTGAATTTGAATTTAAAAAAATTTCCAAGTCATTCTAAATTATGCAATATGGATTAATCACAGATTGCCTAAAGCAACATTTATTTGTTTCGGGAAGTATTTATTGTAACTTGACAGGAAGAATGATATGACCTTTATCTCTTTTCAGTAGATCCCTCTTATAATCATTAAGATATGCATGTTATAAATGGGGCGGAGGGTATTCATATACACAATCAGCAGCTGATAATTCTTAGTCAAGCAATCTGTTTTAAGGTTAGAGGTCATCTATATTCAACTCATACTGAAAGCAAGTTTCATCTTCATCATAAATGTAAAGTACACCGGCTTACATCTTACTTATTGGGTCCTGATTACATCAACCAAGCCTAAGTGGCTGTAATACAGTGCCCATCCAACAAATAACTGAGTGAATAAATAACTCTAGAGAAGGGTCTTCTTGGAAGAGTTACCATTACCTAAAGAAGGGGAGTCATTTAAGGGAGGGTAGTGAATTTCACTCTCAGAAATAACAGGAAATCAGACTACTCCAAAAGAATATGTAGAGCCCTGGCCAGTTTGGCTCAGCGGTTAGAGCGTCGGCCTGCGGTCTGGAGGGACCCGGGTTCGGTTCCCGCTAAGGGCACATACTTCGGTTGTAGTTTGTCCCCGGCCCTGGTTGGTTGTGCGGGTGGCAGCCACTCGATGTGTCCCTTCACGTCGATGTTTCTCACTCTCTCTCCCTTCCTCTCTCTCCCTCCCATTCTATCTGTACAAAAAAAAATGGGAAAATATCCTCAGGTGAGGATAAAAAAAAAAAAAAAAAAGAATATGTAGAAAAAGTATTCTGATACAAAAACTACATCAGAGATTACAATAGTATATACTTCATAACATTCTTTTTTTTTTTTTTAATTCTCACCTGAGGACATTTTTCCATTTATCTTCAGATAAAGCAGAAGGGAGGGAGAAAGGATGAGAGAGAGAAACACCGACGTGAGAGAGACACGTTGATTGGTTGCTTCTCGCATGACCCCAACTAGGGCCAAAGACTAACCACAACTGTGGTACGTGCCCTTGGCCGGAATCGAACCCAGGACTCTTTGATCTGCAGGCCAATGCTCTAACCGCTGAGCCAAACCAGCCAGGACACTTCATAACATTCTTAAACCTGGTAGCTTTTTTTGGTCACATTTATTAATGACTAGCAATAAAAATACCTTCAAATAAAAAAGGTACAGGTAGCCCTGGCTGGTTTGGCTCAGCGGTTAGAGCGTCAGCCTGCGGACCAGAGAGTCCTGCTTTGGTTCCTGCTAAGGGCACGTACCTTGGTTGCAGTTTGTTCCTGCCCCTAGTGGGGTCGCGTGGGTGGTGACCACTCGATGTGTCTCTCTCACATAGATGTTTCTCTCTCTCTTCCTCCCTCTCTCCCTCCCGCTCTATCTGAAGATAAATGCAAAAATGTCCTCAGGTGAGGATTAAAAAAAGGTACAGGTAGGGGGCAGTAAGAAGAGGTCTACTTCACAGTGTTTCTGGGAAGGAAGAGAGGAACCCTAGAAATAAGGTGAGTGATGTCACCTTTAAACAACAACAAAATAGGGTAAATGTTGTCTTTTCATCTTTCTATTAAAACAGAGCATGGCAGGTAGTACTTGCTCACAAAATGTCTGTTGAACAAATGATTCCTTCCTACCTTCTTCCTCTACCTGTTCTTCCCTTCCTTTCCTTCCTCTATCCTTCTTTCTAACCTTTCTTCTTTCTTCCTTCCTTCTTTCCATTAATCTAACTCTTCATTACTCCCCAATCATCCAATCCAATTACTCCCTCCTCTTCTCCTAAGGGCCTGCAAAGTCTAAAGAATCAAGAGGTTCCTTGTCAAGGGTCTTAAGATTTGCCCTCTTGAAACCGATCAAGATATAGTATTTTAGTTCTAGGCATTGAAAATAAAATCAACTCTGGTCTTCCTACTAAGAGGAAAAAGTCTACAGAGAGAATCCAGGGATATTATCAGCTGTGGAAGGCCTTACTGTTTCCTCCCAGGATGCAAATTTCACACTTTGCAACAGAGCAATTGCATAATCTTACCCTGATACCAGAAATGGGTAAATTTTACTTTTCTTTCAAAATTCAGGTCAGCCCCTTGTCCTTCAACCATATTTGAAAACCAATTTCCCCCTCTTTTCCCCACTTCCACCTCCCCCAAAATGGCTACAACAAATACTTTTGCTCCCCCAGTCCCTTTTGTCTCATACCCCAAAATGAAAGCACCCTTACTGAATTCAATATTAGACTCTTACCCTGCCAGGAAAGCTAAGGAGTAGGAGTTGTTCTTAGAAACAAATGCGGAGCGATGTGTCTGTGTCATCTTGCCTCGGGAAGGTTCTTCATTCTCTGAATCTGAGAGACGTGCAGGACACTGGCAGGAGAGAAGGGAGACAACACCATCCATTTGAGGTTCCCATTGAATCTCCCATAGCTATTGTTTCAAATATCTCTATTCTGTTACTTCCACCTGAGCTCCAATCTATGTGTATGTTTCCAACTGCCTCCTGGAGATCCCAATCAGGATATCTCTAATGTAGCTCAAATTTAATATATCCAAAATCAAACTCACTATATATCTTCTCTAAGCCCCACTACCAATCCAGCTGGAAGCCTCAATGTCATCTATGACTTTTTTCTTTCCCTTTCTTCAGAGTCATAACATTGTGTAGAGGTTTTGAGTACCCCAACACTTCTAAATATTTTATTTCATTTAGTGTTTATATCAGCTCTATTAAGAAGGGATTATTAGCTGTCTATTACAGATGGAAAACTGAGGCTCAGAGTAGTTAATATGCCTAGGATTGTAGAGTTTATAAGTAGCTAACACTGGTACTTAAATCCAGAACATCTGTCTCCAAACTGCCTCCATGCTAGTTCCATTCTACTCCATTTTACGGCTAAAATGTCTCTCAGATCTAACTCTCCCATGTATATTCAGTTATCATTGCCTTTCCTTAGATTCTCATCACCTTTTGCCTGGACTACTACAATAATCTACTTACTGGTCTCACTCTCTTCAGCCTTTCTTCCCTCCAATCCCCTCCATATTATCAAGCACACAAACAAAATCCTGCTTAACTACTGATAACTTCAGGATCAAGTCTAAACAACTCAGTATAATACAATAATCTTAAAAACTAGACTCAACTTTCTTTTATAGTTTTTCTCATACCAGTTCCCAAACCGGGAACTCCTTGAGTTCTAGTACAACCAAACTACTTTCTACTCTCCATATGTTCCATTATAGGCTTTCAAAACCCCTTAATCTTTTGGACATGCTATTCTTTTGGACCTGCTATTCCCTTTGCCTATTATTCTCTGCCTATAAAGTATTCACTGGCCTTTCAGAGGCATCTTAAATGTCACTTTCTCTGATAGGGCTTCCAAATATCCCTAGAGTCAGCTTTTTCCATCTTGTCGATATTCATTCATTTACCTTCATTTTATTTTGGAATCTCTTTTTGAGTCTTTCAATTTACATATGACATTTCTTTTATATGTGCCTTTTGCATACAACATATAGTGAGTATTTGCCTCATGACTCAATATGAGAGTCTTCATTTTACTTATTTATTTATTTTGGTACGTGCCTCTAGCGGGAACCAAACCTGAGACTCTCTGGTCCACAGGCCGACACTCCAACCGCTGAGCCAAACCGGCCAGGGCGAGAGTCTTCATTTTAGAGGGAGCAGCTAATCACACTGAACTATATAGCTTCTTATTTAAGAGTCTGTCTTCTGTTTTAGACAATAAACTGTGAGAGCAAGCGACCATCTTTTAAGACTCTCAATAGCATTATATAGAACAGGTAAACCAAAAATGTCTAATCATCTAATAATTAACCAGTTATCTAATGAGCAAATGACTACCAAAATGAGAGTTACAGACAGAGGCATGCAAGGCATCGTCTTATGGCTCAGAGTACCCTGCATTCCTGAGATGCTTTGTTATTCTCTAGGCTGACAAGCACATACATACAATAGACTATGTTTCCTAATAGCCTTTGAGAAATAGTTGAAGGATTACAATTTACATGGAAGCTTTTCAATTTTGCAAGGTACTACTCCTTAAAGAACCCTGCTGTGTCCTGGCTGGTTTGGCTCAGCAGTTAGAGCATCAGCCCTTGGACCCTCTGGTTCGGTTACTGCTAAGGTATCTCGGTTGCAGTTTGTTCCAGGCCCGGGTTGGGGTCTTGTGGGTGGCAGCCACTCGATGTGTCTCTCTCACGTCGATGTTTCTCACTCTCTCTCTTCCTCCCTCTCTCCCTCCTGCTCTATCTGAAGATAAATGCAAAAAAAAACAACCTCCTCAGGTGAGGATAAAAAAAGAGCACTAACCGATTATCAAATTTCATGTAATATTCTCTTCTCAACTCTGAGAAAAAGTAACAGGTTTGACATCTAGACTTAACAGGGAATAAATAATGCCGATTTCTATTTAGGTGTTTGTATATATTCAATTCAGTACCAAATAAAAGAATGTTCTGATCCTAGCTCTGTTACTTAGCTATCATGGTGTCTGTAGGTTAGTTGCTTTATCTTTCTGAGCCTCAGTTTACTCATCTGTGAAACAAAGAATGCTCCATCTACAACAATGATTGTGATAAACCATTAAAAGCACTTAGTATATTAACAAACAAGTATTAATGTTCAACAAAAGAGATTTTAATTAATTTAAATACTATAAATCTTTTAAGAAAAAAATTTAGAATTATAATAGATATACACTAGGTTACTTTTAATTATTGAAAAACACATTTATATTATTATAAATAATTATATAGATAGAAGGCAACCCCCTGCCCCCCATCTCTCTATATGTTCACCGCTACAAAACCTAGAACCATAAGACAGGAAAATATTTATCTCTCGTCTTTCCCTTTAGGTAAACATAAGCCTATAGCACTATGAATGCCTAAAATGGTATAAAACCTGCATAATAAAATCCCCAAAGTGATCTTTTTTTAAAAATTTACATTAAAAAATTAAAAGAATGATAATACCCCGAGTTGGCAAGGGTGTGAGGAAATTAGTTTAGTACTTTCTTGAACTATGGTAGCAGTATAACTATATACAAACTTTCTGGAGGTCAAATGAATAATAAGTACCAAAAGTCTTAAAAAGGACTCTCCTCTTGACCTGGTCATTCCACTCCTGATAATTTATTCAAAGAAACTAATCACAGTAGTGGTTTAAGATAGCGAAATATTAACAGGATATTAATTAATTTAATCACATTAATTCTACAGTAAAGAATACTAAGAAAGAGACCACTAAATAATGATGTGGTATTCCTCATTTACATGGAAAACAGTCACAATTTACTATTTATGAAAAAAGGTTTAAAACAGTATGTACATTGGGTTGCATTTTAAAAAGGAAAAAATATATAGTATATATATATATATATATATGCACTTAGAAAAGAAGTCTGGGCAAAACATGTACTAAAATGTGTATAGAGGTTATTTCTACGTTGTGGGATGACAAGCAATTTTTCACTTTCTGCTTTATAATCTTTGGTATAACAATTATAGTTGTACCAACAATTCACATTATTATTGATATCAATTATACCATAAAAACTCATAAAATAAGCACTGTGCCCATTTTATTTCCATTCTGAACAAATAATAGATGATAATCTCTGATTCTGGAATAGGGACTTTCTTTCCTCCATTTGAATTCAACTTGATAAACACATACAAAATATTTGTGATATGCAAGGCACTGTAGAAAATTTTAAATTAGATAAGACATTTCCTATACTCAAGAAACTTGCAAATCTAGTAGAGAAACACAAATAAACAAATAACCATAAGGCAAAGGAGAATAAAATAAGGCCTCTAAAAGTTACAAAGTAGGGGCAGGGATGTTGGGAGGGGAGAGTGGATGATGGGAATGGAGAAACAAGTGAGGAATCTCTATAGTTTCCAGGAACGTGACAGCTTTTGAACGGGACATGGAAAGATAAATAGCCTTTCAACAGGTAAGTTGGGTGACATTTCAATGAAATGAAGATGCAAGAGCAAAGACTCTAAAGAGGGAAAATACAATGTATATATATTTTGGGAAAGCAAACACTCCATTTCCTAGAGTTTGGGGACGTAAGCAAGGATGGAAATATAAGCTAAAATAATACTAAGGAACTGAATGTTGGGGTGAATAGTTCCCACTTAATTCCACAGGAAATAGGGAGCCCCTGAGGTTTAGGGGGCAGGAGAGTAAAATAACCAGTCAAGCTCTAATCATAACTCTCTCTATATAAATAAATATAATCCTTCGTCTGGCTTCCCACTTAAGTACTTGAGCTTCTCTTTGGTCCCAATTTGAATGTAGCCTTGGCTAGACTAAATGAAATTACCTGCTCAACACCAAAAATTCTTAATACATACTTAAAGCAAAATTAGAACCATATAAAATTCCTAAAACATATAAAAGCAAACAGAAAAAGGGTAAAAATCACAAAATTCTAAAACTTAAAGTGTTCACAGACCAGATTTTATTCATTGTGTCTTTGCACAGAAAATTTTCATAACTGGCTATTACCAATAAAAATGAGTGAGAATTTATAGTTCCTGATTCCTTTTAAGATTAAAATTAGGTTGATGCAATGATTTCTATTTCCAAAGATAGTAGTGGCAAAAGAAAAAAATCATTAGGGCAATTTCCTAGTCTTGACATGAATTAATACCAGAGATCATTTCCTGGAGAAAACCTGGATCTGGCAAGGCCAAAACAGCAGGTTCCTTCTATGAAAAAAAAAAAAAAAAACGTAGCAAAGGTAAGCACACTTCTAAGCTGTTTCGCCTGATGACCCTAATGGACAGTCCTGCTGGTGTGAGGCCACAGGCAGAAGTGCAGTCTTTAGACCACAGATCTTAGTTGGGGCTATTAGTCAGAAGACATACTTATATGCACAAGACTATCATATATTTCATTCTTGCCTTCCCAGCCAAATATTCTCTCTGGTAGCAGTCTTTTTCCTTTTGTAGTTCCCAATGAACAGAGCACTAAGAGTACACAAGCATTTTATGTTTGCTAAATGGAATCTTTTAGAAGGTTGAAACCTTATAAAATGCAAGTGGCTGTTTTTAATAAATATTATTATTATTATTATAACTGGATTAAAATCCCTACATGACTGTTGACAATCAGAAAACACTATCAATCCAAGAAAGTTCAAATAATTTAACTTTTTGAAATTCAGGAAAAATGCCTTTGCAAAGATTGCATCAAAAGCACAGAGAAATGAAGTAACCAGGCCAAAGTCATACAGTCTGTTTTAATGCTGGGACCTGTTAAAGAGGCAGACTTCTGAATCAGGGATTTTTTTCCCTTTATTCTACTCTATTGTCTATCTTTATATATGATAATGCTTTATTAATTCTGGTTAAACGGAAAGATAATTGAAATACTGACAAGCCTAAGTCACAAAATATTTTAAAAGATATGATTCTATAGATATGTTAAGTACATACAGCAAGCAATAAAAGATATCCAATCCAATAAAACTTACTAGAGAAAAAACTCAATTGTAATCACCCATTTGAGCTAACCAGTGAATCCTGCAAAAGTGCTTTCTCATATAAGTTAAATATACCACTTATAACCTTTTCTAGTAATTTGCTTGATAAATAAGTAATGAAAATTATTCAGGCAAGATTTAGCTCAATTAAAAGTCTAATTAGGTTAAGTTTAAACTAACTAATCTAATACCTTATTCCTAGCACTGTGCTGTTTAGGGCATATTAAAGAAGAAAGGGCAATTCAAGCTTTAAGGAAATCTAGTAGAGAATATAAGACATATACAACTCAAATATCAAATAACAACACATAAATCAAATGGCAATATACATAAAAAATTTACAGTATACCACAAGTATATTGTACTAGGTTTTTCCTCTTACCGTTTTTCTCCACCTTTCCTTTAATCTTTCCACAGAAGTCTCACTGTCCCATTCATAAATTACTTTCTCCAGCTCTCATCTGGATGCTATGTTTCTCACTATTGTTAAGCTGCACAGTCAATGACTATTACTGGTCTCACAGTTCACCAACATAGGTTTCTCAGATCCACGCCACCTGGGCTAATTGCTGATTTTGAGGCAGGTGTCCATCAAAAAAGTGATCTACTTACACGTTCCAGATTTGTTTTCAGTACTAATGGTTCATCTCTTTTTTTCTGTTCATCCATTTTCCTCTTCCCTGTTTCTGTATCCTCTGGTAACAGCTTGTGGATTTGATCTTCGGAGGTTTTCTCCTCTTGTAACTTTTCTTCTTTCAGCTAAAAATACAAATCACACAGGGACAACTATAGTTTTAGGCCACTATATACTAAAACATAGCTTTTCCTCAGTAGCCTGTTAGAACAAACATCACATGGCAGTTTTGAGACTATTTTCCTTACTGGAGATAAAGTCCTCTTAATTTTTAATTATGTCAGCTTTTACTTGACTCTTGCCAAGCACACACTTCGTGGCTTAAGATTTAACTGCTCTGCATTCTTGAGCAATATGAAACCATACAAATACACAATAAAAAAGTAAAATTTATTCACTTAGCTAAAAGAGGCTGACCTTAAAAACTTTCTTAGTCCCATAAACCAGATATAAATGTACCGGACTAGGAGAACAGAAGAGATGTAACCACAGAGGGCCAGAGAAGCTGGGCGAGGCAAGATGAGTCTTTAGGCCTAGTAGCAACAGAATAAATGACTTCATCACAATTCCTATGCCCTACAATTCATGCTACTATCTTGTGGTCCAGAGAATAGGTCAAGATACATGAACTACAAAGAAACTTAAGGCAGAGGCATTTGCTCCCCATTTAGAGGAGGTAGCATGGCATTATGAAAATAAGATGGGTTTCTGGAATAAAAACCTGGGTTCTAATGGTTGTGTCATTTACCAAGTAGATGATCTTTGGCAAATGAACTACCATATGCTCACCTACAAAACAGAGATAATGCTTCTTACTTTGCAGATATTGTTATAAGAAGTAAATGAGATAAAGTACTTAATTTTGTGTCTTCTTGTATACTTACAGAACATCAAGAGTTTCCTTTCCTAATCTCCTTTTTACTCTCTTTTCACTGCCCAGGGTTTTAACACTTTTAAATGACAAAGTATATCAAAGCAATTACAGGCTACTAATATATTTTTTTAAATCCTCACCAGAGAACACTTTTCCATCGATTTTCAGATAGAGTGGGAAGGAGGGAGACAGAGAGAGAAACATCTATGTGAAATAGACACACCGATTGGTTGCCTCCCGGATGACCTCAACCAGGAACAGGGATCCAACTGCAACTGAGGTATGTGCCCTTGACTGGAATCGAATCCACAACCCTTTGGTCCACGGGCTGGTGTTCTAACCACTGAGCCCAATCAGTCAGGGCCAGGCTACTAGTACTTTTAATCATACTTGCAAAATTGTAAAGCTAAAGAATAAATAAATATTTTTCACTGGCTGTTGACTCAGGCTTAAAAAAACAAAAGCAACAGTAACAATAAAGATTTAATCTTATTGTTCTAATTTCTATAGGTCTGATTCCTATAAGACTGAATAGTCTTTTACACAGTGAGTCTAATTCAAGAGGTTATAAATATTTAAAGGACATCATACACAATGCTATACCAGGAGGACATTCAAATCAAATAATGTACTCCCAACTCTTCCAAGGTAAAATAACACAAGAGGAAGAAAAGCAAATCCATGTCCAAGGAGAAAGGAAACCTAAGCTATGCTAACTACCCATGTGAAAGATCAATGCCTTTTGATGATTTTACATGAGAAAGTCTGGTTCAACAACTTGACCACAGGCTACACAGAGGAGCATTTCACTTTTAGAGGACAGAGAGGCAGAGTAGCACAAAAGAGAACAGGTTTTAGCATCATAATCGTTATCATTTACTGAACTCTATGAGTCAGGTACTGAGCTGAACACTATACATATATTATCTCACTTAAGAAAACTAAGGTTTAAGAGTTGGGTAATGTGTTCAAATTCATAGCCATAGCCCAAGAGCAGGAATTCAAATCTGGGTTTACCTCAGTGGTTTTCAACCAATGATTTTGCCTCTCAGGGTACATATGGTAATGCCTGAAACTTTGGCTACAATTAGGGGTGGAGTGTGTGTGATACTGGCATCTAGTGGCTAGAGTCTGGAGATTGCAACTAAACATTCTAAATGCACACAGGATAGCCCCCAATAACATATACATACACAGATGTTACAATTAAAAACAAACAAAAAAAACTAAATATTAAATCTCCTTATATATATGTTAGTGTTGTTTAGTGCTTAATGATATTTACATACTACGCCCTTTGGCTTTTCTAAGTGTCTTAAAATGTATCCTTATACCTCCTAATGTTTATTGCTGCTCTCAAAATTTTTGACAACGGACTTGTGTTGCTAGCAAAACCACCTTTCATTGCAGTGTTGAGTCTCTTCTAACACAGCATCACCTTAACTAACCTAAAAATGTATGCAATTGAGCCCGACTGGTGTGGCTCAGTGGATTGAGCATTGCCCCACACACCAAGAGGTCACCGGTTTGATTCCTGGTCAGGGCACATGCCTAAGTTTCAGGCTTGTTCGCCACTAGGGGGCATGCAGGAGGCAGCCAAATGATGATGTTTCTCTCTCTCATTGATGTTTCTATCTTTCTCTTCCTCTAAAAAAAATCAATAAAAACATTTTTTAAAAAGCATGTGAGATAAAATTAAGATTAAAAAAATTTATTTAATTGAAAAACCCATAACCCATATATCCATTTAAATCTTCACATGAATCGTGCTGATGTTTTCTCTATAAGTTATTTTTTTGTTCTTTTGGTGGTTATTTATAAGGACTTGAGAATTTGGCCTCTACAACAGAATTTTTATACTTAGGGAAAATGTCTCTGACAGTGTCAGAAAGCAGCATATAAACCAGTAAGAAATATCAATAGCTGTTGTTTATTCAATTCTTCTATGTTCCAGGCATTAAGATTATAGAGCTTACCTCGCTTAATCTTTAAGGTTTCTGTTTGTATCTATTATTACCATTTTATAGACACAGAAATTAATACTCAGTGTTATTTCTCAAAGTCACAATGATTTAATATTGAAGAACTTGAATTTTATAGTAAACCACTGGCTTCAGATACCAGAGAGTCTAAACCTCAGCCTTACTGACACTTTGGGCTAAATAATTCTTTGTTATGGGATGGGAGGAACTGAGCAGTCTAATAAGAAGGCTTATGCATGAATACTGGCCCAATCACTGGCTACAGAGGACAAAATGAGAAACTCCATGAAATGCATCTCAAAACTGTTAGTCTGAAGTGAGAAAAAGGGAATCATATATCTATTGACTCCCACCTCCCAGTGACCAAAGTTTGCTCCACATGGTGTTAAATACACCTCACACTGGCTTGTATAACTTGAGTAAGTTCCCCTGGTAGGTACTGTAGCTATGATGATAGAAGCTGTAGAGCTAAAAGCAAGAGGCAAGCAGCTGGCTCCTGAACAAGATCTCAGGTTGTACCATAGAAGCTGCCCACTACTATAAGTGAAATGATTTTTTATTGCTTCCTTTTTCAGATGCTAATTACTAAAGAAAAACTACTGACTTCTGTATATTAATCTCATACTCAGTCACACTACCAAAAATACCATAAAAAATTTCCTTACTTTGTTCTAATATTTTTTAAAAATCAAAGTGTTATACACAGAAAAATATATAAATCACAAATGTAAGGCATGGTAAATTATATAAAATAAGCGTATCCACATAACCACTGCCCAGATCAAAAAATGATTATCTTCTCAGTTTCCCTTGTGCCTATGCCTCACCCCAAAATAACCACAGTCCCAGCTTCCACCACCAAAAAATCATTGTACCCATTTCTGAATTTTATATAAGTGGAATCATATATGCATTAAATCTGTCTTCCTCCAGTCAACATACTACTTGTGAGATTCATCCATTTAGGTGCATATAGTTTGTTTTTTCCATTGTTTTACAGTATTCTATTGTTTGCCTACAAAACAATTTAACCATTCTATTGTTACTGGATTTGAGTAATTACTAGTTCTTGGCTATTTACACATAACTGCTATGAACATTTCTGAATATGCATCCTGATACACATACTGTCCTGTGGGGTATATTCTAGAAGAGATACTCTTTAGTCATAAGGTATGGGTATGCTGCTATGCTTTTCCAAACTGATACAAATTACACTCCACCCACCTCCAATGTAGCGGAAGGACAGCTGTTCTCAGCCTATTTGTCTATTTCAGACATTCCAGTAAGTATATACTAGTACTGCATTATGACTACAATTTGCATTTCTCTTCTAAAGATGTAGAGTAGCTTTTCATGTTTACTGTCTGGAAATCCTCTTTCATGCAGTGCCTATTCACATGGCAGCCCTTTTTTCTTTTAGATATTGGGGTTTTGCCCCTAGTAATTTATAGGAGCTATTTATATATTTTTAAATATGAGACAAGATTCAAGAAAAAAAATGCACGCAGTAGTGCCCCTTAACTGCAGTTTCACTTTCTGTGGTTTCAGTTACCTGCAGCAAACAATAATCTGAAAACATTAAATGAAAAATTCCAGAAATAAACAATTCAAAAGTTTTCAATTTTGTGTGGTTCTGAGTATTGTGATGAAATCTCCCACGGTCCTGCTCTGTCCCATCCCAGGATGTGAATCATCTCTTTGTCCAGCAAATCCATGCTGTGTACGCTCCCCAACTGTTAGTCACTTAACAGTCGTCTTGGTTATCAGATCGACTGTCATGGTATCAAAGTGTTTGTGTTCAAGAAACCCTTATTTTTTTTGTAATTGCTCTATTTTACTAGTTATTGTTGTTAATCTCTTACTGTGCCCAATTTATGAAATAAACTTTGTCATAGGTGTGTATGTATAGAAAAAAGCATGGTAAATATTGGATTCAGTACTATCTACAGTTTCAGACATCCGTTGAGGGTCTTGGAACATCTCCCTCATAAATAAGGGGGGACAGTACAAAAAATATATATATGTATTTATGTATGTGTGTAAACATATCCCCACCCCCAAAACAGTAGCTTTCTTTTTTCACTCTTGGTAGTGTGTCTTTTGAAGATAAGAAGTTCCAGATTTTAATGCAGTTTAATTTAATGATCTTATTTGACCTTTCACATTTAGATCTATAATCCACTTAGAATTAATTTTTAAAAGATATATCTTTATTGTTGAAAGTATTACATGTCCCCCCTTTTCTCCCCTATTAGCCCCCTCCTCC